CATCACAGTGAAGGGTCCCTAACCAGTGGACCGTGGCCAGCCTGCAGAGTCCCCATTACAAGTGTGCATGTGCTCCGTGTGCAGAGCGATGCCTTGAAAAGGCACAAAAGGCCCCATCTGCCCTCCAGTGGGCAGTGCTCAGGAGCCCAGCTGACGCCTGGACCTCGTCCCTTCCACACAGCGGCACTCCGTGTCTGTGGCAGAGACAGCACCTCCATTTCCTTGAAACAGGGACCCTGCTTCCACCCTGCTTTCTCTGTCCTGACAGAGAAACGGGTGCTTTGACCACTCTGTGACCTGACCGGCTGCAAGGTGAGCTGCAGTCTTCAACCCAAGTGAGGGCCTTGCTTAGATAATTGATTGAAACAACAACAATCAAACATGTTGTTAAACATATAGAAACCCCATCCCCACCAAGTGTGGAGGTGCACACTTACAATATCAGTGCTCTGGAGGCTGAGGTAGGGGAATTGTGAGTTTGAGGCCAATCTGGGCTATATAGCAAGACCAAAAACAAAACAAAACAAAAAAGACAGAGAAAGAGAGAAACCAGCCCCAGCCCCAGGGCAAATTCCTTCAACTCTGCAACCCCTGGATGTAGATGCACGTGGGTGGCACATGTCTTTTCTGATAACTCTGGCACTGAAGGCGTCTCTCTTTGGAATCCCACTGGCCCCATCTCAGGATTATTTGGGGCAGGGTGTTCCCTGTGGGAACTCCCCTGCTGTCACCTTTGAGGTGACATAGTTACAGGTTCAGCTGGATAGAGCCCTTCCATAGCTAGGTGTCATAGACTGAAGCACTGGCTAGCCTGCCTCCTTCTGGAAGCTCCAGGTAAGAATCTGCTTCCCAGCCAGGTGCCATGACTCACGCCTGTAATCCCAGCTACTCAGGAGGCAGAGAGCAGGAGGATCGAAGTTCCAAGTCGGTCCAGGCAAATAGTCTGTGAGACCCTATCTAAAATAAATCCATCACAAAAAAGTTGGGGTGGGCTTCTGGAGTGGCTCAAGGTGTAGGCCCTGAGTTCAAGCCCCAAAACTGCCAAAAAAAAAAAAAATCTGCTTCCTTGCTTTTTCCAGCTTCGTGAGGCCACCTGCACTCCTTGGCTTGGGGCCCTGTCCTCCACCTTCAAGTTCAGCAGCTCAGCATCTTCAAACTTCTTTCTCTTTCTACCAATCTTTCCACCTCCCCCATCTCTTCTACATCTCTTCTAAGGACACCTAGTGACCCTGAGACACCTGGACACCCTTCTCAATGCTTTTAACACCATCATATGTGATATAACTGACATATTGGCAGGTTCCAAGGACAGGTGTGGACATCTTTGGGGACCATTATTGAGCCCACAACAGCAGCTGTCCTTTTGCTCCCAGACCCATGGTATCTGTTCCAGACAAAGGACACTGAAGAAGACCCTAGCCTTGGGATTCCCCAGGTGACAGCATGCACCACCCCCCTCCCTCAGGGACATCTGTGAAGTCTTTCTCAAGAACCCTCATACCACATTCTCTCTGGTGGCGGTGTCAGGGTGAGTCTGCGGTTTGATCAGGGATGAGACATGGGGCCTCAGTGCCTGCAGCCCTTCCCCCAATCCAGGAGATTCTCCTGGGGTACAGCTCCCCTCTCTATAAGGCTGAGGATCTCATATTGTTCTGTTTATAGAGGACAGTCCCACTCAGCAGGGGACTCATCAAAAGACATGTAACAATCTGGGAGCTGGTGGCTCACACCTGTAATCCCAGCTACTCAGGAGGCAGAGATCAGGAGGATCATGGTTCATAGCCATCCAGGGAAAATACTTCAAGAGACCCTTATCTCAAAACTACCCAACACAAAAAGGGGTGGTGGAGTGACTCATGCGGTAGAGTGCCTACCTTGAGTAGGTACCCCAGTACCTCCAAAAAAAAAAAAAAGTGCAACAAACAGCCCTAGGTATTGTGGGATGTGTCAGGTAAGCAGGACAGGAAATTGGCACTAAATCGTGTCCCAGGGAAAACCCTCACCTGCAATCAGAGGGGGCCTGGAAGACAGGTAGGTTCTGCTAAGGTGAGAACCTGCAGGGTGTCAGGCAGAGCTGACCAGAATGGCCACAGTAGGGGTCTGCGAGGACACAAAGGTGGTGACACAGGCGGTCAGAAGAACAGGGCAGGTGAGTGGATGTGGAAATGACACTAGGGCAGCAGGTGCCTCAGGTGTGTTTGCTGCACCAGTTAGCTTGGCCTCAATGGGCTGGGAAAACCTATGAACTTCTCACACGCTTCTCCATGGCTGCTGGACGCACTGGGATCGTGTGACGCGTTGGGTTTTGTTTCTTTCTAGCGAAGTAGAAATGGAAAAAGAGGATGGAAAGCAATAGTTTGGAGTCTATTCAGCCCGGAAAAAGAAAACTGCCAGGTGTGGGTCTGGTTTGTTTCTGCCCAGGTTGTTGGCAGCACTGCTAAGAGTCACCACCAGGGGGCACAGGTGGGGCCATGGAGCAGACCCAGTCCCTGCTTCTTGGTAGCTCCCCAACCCCACAAGTGGCAGAAACAGGTCGGTAGACCCAGGCGCCCCCGGGATGCATCTGTATGAACTCAGGAGAAAGGCGGGAAGATCACTGAGCCCAGGAGTGTGAAGCCAGCCTTGGCAACACAGTGAGACCCTACTATGTCTCAAAAAACAAAACTAAACCAAACCGGTACAAAACTGTCTTTACAGATGTCCACCTTCTGGTGTTCAGCTTGGGGAAGGCCCCATCCCCTCCAGGAAGCTCAATGACTGGTGTCTGTGGCTCCTACCAAGTGACCCCAATGCCAGCCAAAAGTCACTTGTGTTGTTACCAAACCTGTTTGTGCTGGTTAAACTTGTTCTGTCATTATACAGCCTAATTAATTATTATATAATCTGATGAAATAGGGTAAGACAATACAGAATTGTTGCTCCTACCCAACCAAAAAAACCTAAGTTGAATATTGCACAATAGATACAACTAAGAATACTCACTGTTGAATTAGGTGTGAGCAGGTCAGCTCTAAAGAGAAAGAAGGGGAGGAGTCATGAAAATCCAAATGAGTTTTCTCTCTATTATTTTACAAGTGTCTTCAAGACTTCATCAGATAGACTCACACTAAAAGTAAAAGACCTAGGTAGGCGCCAGTGGCTCAGGCCTGTAATCTTAGCTACTTGAGAGGCTGAGATCAGGAGGATGAAGTTCTAAGCCAACCTGGGCAAATAGTTCTCGAGACCCTGTTTCCAAAATAGCCAGAGCAAAATGGACTGGAGATGTAGCTCAAGCGGTAGAGTGCCTGCTCTGTAAGCACAAAGTCCTGAGTTCAAACCCTAGGCCCACAAAAATTACTAAATAAATAAATAAAAGGCTTAGGGTTGGGAGATGTAGCTAAGAGGCAGAGCTGGCTTCAATTCTCAGCCCAAAAGAAATGAAAAGAAAAACCTTCACTTCATATAAAAAGATTGGTGAATGAAGGTTTTCCCCACTTTACACTAAAATAAAATGGATATAGTATCTGCTTTTTTTGTTTGTTTGTTTATTCCTTCCTTAACTGATTTGGGGATAAACCTGCTTGCAATCAGAGTTGGGCAGAACTGTACTGTAACACGCCCCAGCTATGGGGTGACATAGCCCAGGCTGGGAGATCGAGCTCTTCATGGAATTTCATATTTGGACTGGGAGTGGAGTGTGCCCTGATAAGTGTGCTCTCTGAAGAGTTTGAATATGACTTAGGAAGGAGGGGTTTTTAGCCCAGAGACCCCAGAATTGCTCACAGGACCACAGAGTAATGGTTTGGATGTAAAGTGACTCATAGGTTGCAGTCTTGGTCCCCAGTGCAGCAGTGTTCAGAGGTGGGGCTTTGGGGAAGTGAGTGGATCATGAGGGCTTTCTACCCATCAATGGATTAATCCAATGATAGATTCATACTTTGATAGGTTATTAGGTGATGGAAACTTAGGAAGTGGGCTCTTGTGGGTGTGCCCTTGGGGACTCTATCTTGTCCCCAGCCTCTCTCCCCATATCTTTCTCTGTCTCTCCTTCTTGGTCCCCCTGAAGTATGATGTTCTACCTCACTTTGGGCCCATGCAATGATGCCAGCCAACCATGAACTGAAACCATGAGTCAAAATAAACCTTTCCTGCTTTTAAACTGTTTGTCTCAGGTATTTTGTCACAGCAAGGGAAAGCTGACTAACTCACAGAGATACTCTACATGTCCAAAGCGGTGGGTTAGACAACAAAGGGCATGCCCTGCCTAATGCATGAAAAAAACCCAACACTGTGTGGGTCAAAGATGCCCCTCTGACAAGTGGTGCCAGACTGCTGGCTTGTGACCCTCACTGCAGTAGAGGCGTCACTTGTGAGTCAAAGAGGACGGTGATCTGACATCTCCCAGGGTCTGTCATTTTCACAGATCCAGCAAATTCTTTCTTGGTTGGGGGACTGGACCCAGGGCAGCATTTCTGCAGCTCACTCCCCGTGATCTCTCATCTTTTGTCCCAGGACCTTCCCCGTGGATGCCCTAATAGGCTCTGTGACCTTCATCTTCATGTAGCCTCTCTACTCCCTTCCACCTAGGGTGGTGAAAAGAGCCCTGGATTTGGGGCAGAACGACTTGAATTTGAACCCACCTCTGCGATTCCTGGCTGGCTTTGCTGGAGCCCCAGCTTTCTCATCTGAAAAGGGGGTGAACATTGGACCTACTTCCTTCACAGGGCTGCATGAAGATGAAAGGAATAATGCATGCATGGCTCCAGACCTCTAGCAGTCTGGTAAGAAATGGGATGTCCCTTCTCCCTTCCTCTAGGGCCTTCACCCTCCAGCCACGATTCTTGTCCGCTTAAACCATACCTCGCCGGCCGCGGCCCCTTTAAGACAGCTTGGAGGACCTAGCCTCAAAGTCGCGGGCTACGCTCTAGCTGTCGTCTCGATGGTAAACGTCACTTCCGGCCGGAAGTGCGTTTGCGCAGCTGCTTCCGTTCAGGGGGCGGGGAAGCCAGTGGAGACGCGTCCTCGTCGGAGAGGAAATGCTCTCGCCTCGTGCTGGCTGCGGGTCCTTGGCCCGCGGGGCGACACGAGGTGGCCCTGGCCGCGGTGATGGCGAAACTCTGCCGGGGTGGGGAGGCCGGAAGCGCTGAGACCCCAGCTCGGGCCCGCGGGACCCCAGGGCCGGACGCCCCTCCGTTAGAATCTGTTCCAGGAGCCACTGGGGCGTGGACGGGAGGAGAGCGAGGGAGGTGGCCCGCGCGCAGACGCCGACCTCGGCGGGAGGGGGTTGGGGTGGGAGAGGACACTGTGGCCCTGGCGTCCCTCTGCACGGGTAAACCTCCCATGCACTTTGTTTTACGCTTTCCCCCAGGAAATGAGATCTTGATTGGGTGGAGGCACGCGTCGATTCCTTCCCGACCTCTGATGAGTGTTTTCAAAGTGGCCTCAATTCGGGTGACCCAGGTATGTCAGAGCATCTTAGAAACCAAGGGTCCCAAGGCGACGATGGTCTGGGGAAGAGCTCCTGTGTTGTTGAACCTGCCCAGCGGGTGGGTGCAGCCTTGTAACCAGGTAGCCCGACCTTGACCTAAAGTAAATTCCCAGGGAAGTCCTTCCCGGGGTTTGGATTTGCAGTAACAGGTGTGAGCATTCCAGCAGCAGCTTGATGGTCATGTATGACACTGCAAACAGGACTTGCCAAGAGACTATACGCCGCGTTGAACACCCGACCAAGTGGTAGGGACACAGATGAACACAACAGTGGTGGCTCCTGTTCTCAGGGAGCACCAGCCTTGTTGGGGAGACAAGATTAAGTAACCACACTTAAGATGGTTGGGTGCTGGTGGCTAATGCCTGTAATCCTAGCTATTTGAGAGGCTGCGATCAGCCTCAGCAAATAAGTAGCTCGCAAGACCCCTATCTCCAAAATAAGTACAGCAAAATGGACTGTCGATGAGGCCTGCTTTGCAAAGCAGGAAGCCTTGAGTTCAAACCCCAGTCCTGGGCTAGTGGAGTGACTCAAGCAGTAGAGTGCCTGCCTAGTAAGTATGAGGCCCTGAGTTCAAATCTCAGTACCACCACCAAAAAAAAAAAAAAAAGGTAATTCAAACCAAGGTGATGAACACTGATGGAAAGCATAGTCCTGTAAGAATACACGTCACAAGAATGAGACACTTGAATTGGACTGATGAATGAGTAAGAGTTTGCTGGGAAATACAGGAAACAGCATGTGCAAAGGCCCAGTGGCTGAGCAAGTGTAGCTAGTGGAGGAACTGAAGGATGACCACTGTATCCCAGAGAGCAGGCTGAAGGGTGGGGTAAAACAGCTGAAAAAGTGGGGAAGGGCCAGCCCACACAGGGCCCTGTGGCTTATGTAAGGATTTTGGTTTTTCTCTTAAGAATAGTAGGGTATCATTATGGGGGTTTTTGTTTGCTTCGTTTGGGTTTTTTCAGTGTTCTGGGGTTTGAACTCAGGGCCTCACGCTTGCTAGGCAGGTGCTTTACCATTCAAGCCACACATCCAGTACATTTTTTTGCTCAGGTAGGCTATTCCACTTTTTGTCCTGAGACCAGCCTTAGACCAAGATCCCACCACCTCCACCTCCCTCATGGCTGGGATTACAGTTGTGCACCACAGTGCCTGGCCCTTCATTATGGGTGTTAAAGGAAGGTGTGCGTAAAGCTGCAGTTTCAAAAGATCATCTATGGAACACTGCTGGCCAACAGAACTTCCCATGATAGAAGTGGCCAGTTAGGCTGTCCAGAGCAGACACAAGCTGCATGTGGTCATTGAGCATTTGCAGTTGAGGGACTGGGTTTTGTACTTTAACTGAGATGTAAATGTAGCCAGTGGTCGTTGTGTTAGGCAGCGTGGATCTAGCACACATTAAGGTGGCGATGACACTTGGTACACAGGTGCCTTCTCAAATCTGCACCTGTGCCTCTTTGTAAAGGCCAAGAATAGTGTCTGCTTTCAGGAAAATCTTTGTTGATCTCCCCTCAGCATCTGTCCATTTCGTTATCAATACAGAGAAGTGACATCCAAGACAGTGCGTACAGTGGTCCAAGCCTGTGTCAGATGCCTTGGAGGGACATAAAGAATAGTGTGGTGCTGACGGGGTGTGATGTGGTCAGTGGTGGGTAGGTGCTGAGCACGCATGAGGCCCCTGGTGTTGAGAGGTTTAGAGTCTGTCAGTGCAGTTGGCAGTAAGCTCTGTGGAGTAACAGGAAGGAGCATTTCCAGGGGACCTGGCTGGGGGGTGACCCTGTGAAGGGAGGAAGGGCTATTTTTAATGAGGAAATGAGACAACTTGGGGCAGGCGGGGGGATGTAGGCACTCCCACGGGGGTCTATGCCGAGGACATGATAACTGGAGGGAAAGAAGGAAAACAAGCAGACTGGACTAGGTCATGGGGTAGGGGCTCTGGATGACAGAGGTCAGGTTTGTCATGCTGTTTCCAGCAGGTTTCTGAGTTACAGCCTGAAGAGAGGTGGTCTGGAAGCCACTCTGGTCACCTCAAATAGGTGACCAGCCCTGGGCTCAGGCACAGCCTATAGAGTTGGAAAGACAGAGGATGAACAGAAGCAGGGTCCCCACAGGGAAAATCCCAGGGCACCGTGCACTTTGCATTCTGGGTGGAAAGTAGACTGGGAGAGTTTTGGGGCTGGCAGTTTACATGTTGGTACTTGGTGACATGGGGTGAAAGCTGATGTGTGTGCTTTCTTTGCAGGTCACTTGACCAGAAGATCTGTGTGCTGGGTGAAGGCTGACTTCCTTTCTGCTGGTTGTGTGGTTGGTATGTCATTGCTGTGGCTTAGGCACTTCCAGGTCTGCTGGTTTAATTCTTACCCATGTGCTCTTTGAGTGCTGGCCTGCTGAAGTCTGTTCTGTGTGGATGTAAATAAATGTGAAGTGACCCCGAGGAGTCTCTTGTGTTCTTTATGGTTCCTGTGCCCAGCAGCCATGGATGGCCTCCACTGCGTGACACTCGTGGCAGTGCTGCTTCCAGCTTTGGAGTGACGTGCAGAGCCACTGCACAGCTCTGTGGGAAGGGTGGCGCTGGGGGCACTGTCAATCCTCAAGCAGTGCGACCTGTTAGAAGATGTCAGCATGAGTGGGGAGGGGCTGAGTCTCTGCGATCCTCAGGAAGGAGTGGCTCCCACACTTCTGGGTGGTATTAGTGCTTCACTTTGGATAGGAATGGCCAGAAAATGACTTCCTCTCGAGTCTGGTCACACAGCATGCATTGTGGGTACTGGGCTGCCCCAGGTCTTTAGGTCTCTAGCTCCACATGGGCATCTTTAGCTTGCTAGCTGGGGATCCACGTGTCATTGGGAGCCCTGCCAGCCTTTTGCAGGAATGAGTGACCCCCTTCCTGGGGAGCTGTCAGGTTGTGACTGTTTAGTGGTCTCAGGTCCTTCATGCATTTGCTACCCTGTCCCCATAAGGTCCCTCCACCCGGGGCCCAAGGTCCTCAGCAGGGACAGCCAGTATCTCCATCCCCCCCCAGATGCACACATCCAAGGGGACATTGTCATGGAGATCAGGGACATGGAGCTTGGGAATGTTTGGCCATCTACTTAGGTGCACAAAGCAGATGTGCCTCCTGGAGCCTGTGTTCTATCTGACACGTGGTTTTCACGGCGCACAAACATCTGGCCACTTATGTCTGTGCTGTATGATTAGGCTGCCACAGAAAGGCTGTCTGGTATTTCCACCTGCCTGTCACTGCTGTGTTTCTATTTTTCATGTTCTCGCCTAGCCTAGCCCATCTCTTCTGAAAGCCAGGGGAGTAATTTGGACACAACGGAGTGTTGACAGCCAGTAGGACCTACCGCTTTGGGGGACTGGGCCACCGTGGAAGTTTGGTGCACACAGCCCTTCAGTTCAGGTGACCAGGAAGGGCTTCCTCAACACAGAGGTGGAAGCATCCACATTTCCCACTTAAATCTCCAGCTCCCGCCCCAGCCTGCCCTGTGACCTTGGGTGGGTCACTTCCCTGTTTGTACGGGAAGTACTTCAGTCACATGGACAGTGATGTTGAGTCCTCACCCTCCCAGTGTGGCTGTTCCTGAGGGTGAAGTGAAAAAATCCTGTAAGGCTCTTGGAGCTGCAGGGGAGACAGGAGGCCCCTGGTCCGAGGCCAGCCTTGAGCAAAAATGTGAGATCCTACCTGAAAACGGGCTGGAGGCTTCAACTATAAAGCACCTGCCTAACAAACAGGAAGCTATGAGTTCAATCCCTAATACCCCCAAAATTAAAAACAATCTATAAAGCACTCAGAATGGGGGCTGGGGCCCTATGCCTGCTAGCCTTGTCCTTGTCATTTACACTTTCCCCTGGTGTTCAGAGCATCTTCAGTGTTTCCAGCTGTGAGATTCTGGGGAGCTGCAGTTTGGGAAAGTCCTGGAGTCTCAGCAAGCACTGTTGTCACAGAAAGGTGCCCGCGTGCCACCAAGGAGGGGGCTGAGGTGGGAGCTATGTCCTCAGGGTCACATTCAGGACATTTTCAAGAACACTGACCATCATCCTGTATGTGCCTGTGTGTAGAGGGAAGGCATGTGTTGATTGTCGAAATTAATGTTAAGATGCGAAAATATATATATATCTGAAACGGACCGTTTTGGTGGCCAGTTTCTCGTGCCTCATTCTGATGTGGGGTGTTTTTCTGGCTTTCAGAATGTGACATCCCCACCTGGCTCCAGGCAATGCCTTGTCTGTCTTCAGAACCCAAGTCTGCTGGTGGGCCCAGCTGCTGGAGCTGGTTCCATAGGTCTGGTGTTTAATGGGGCACCAGCTCCTACGCTCCTCCAAGCAGCCTCTGGGAAGCAGCTGAGGCTGGTAGGGCCGCTGGAGTGTCTTCCTCCAGGCAGCCTGAGGGTCTTGAGGCCTCTGGTTGTGCTGAGACTGTACTGGAGAGTGATAATGGCAAGGCAAAGTGAAGGTGGCAGGAGCTGAGAATCCTGTGGCCCACAGGTGCCTGCAACCTCTATCTCCGTCCTGTTCCCATCTGCCAAAGTGCTGGCCCCCAGTGGTTTCTTGACACTGAGCTGCCTCTCCCTTGCTCTGTCACCATACTGTAACTGTACAATAGTCTTCATCAATTCTGCACAGATATGGGCTGCAGTGACTGTAGCATGCTGGGTGAAAGGCGAGGAATCGAGACTTTACTAAAGGAGACCCGAGAACACTCTGTGAAGCTAACCCCTGCTCTGCCGTTCCGTTCCAGCTCCTTTATGGATTCCACCCCTGCTGACCTGAATGTGGTGATAGTGGACTTGTTTACACCAGAGAACACATGCATGTTTAAGATAGGCTGTGGAGGCCTCGCGCGGTGGCACACGCCCGTCATTCCAGCTACTGCAAGGGCGGAGGCAAGAGGGTCCCACTTAGCCTGAGACCCAATTTGAAAAACAGACTGAAAGCAAAAGAGCTGGGGCATGGCTCAAGCAGTAGAGTGCTCACTTAGCAAGCGTGAGACCTTCAGTTCAATTCTTAGTACTGCCAAAAAAAAAAAAAAGAGGCTGTTGTGTGTCCTAGCTGGTCCTGAGCCTTTGCGACTTTTCCTTTGGATTATGGAAAAGGATGGAAGTGGGTGGAGCCCTGTCTTTAAAAGGAATTGTATTCTCAGTGGCATGGATGGAACATGAAGTCTGTGGTTAGGCCCTTTTAAATGTTCAAGGTCACTGTGGGACACAAATGCCTATTTCAGAAAAAGAGTAAGTTACAGCCTGTAAGATTTTGAACTTCTGTCTTTGTACACTAGAGGGTGTAATCCTACACCAGACTGCTCTTCTGTAACTTCAAAGTGCTTTTTCTTCTTTTTTTCTCTTCTGTTAGCCAAGACGTTTTTCACCAGAAAGTTATGCTGGAGGTACAGCTGCAGGGCAGGGCTCTTGCTCAGGAATCTGTCCCTGGTCCCAGTTGTACAGGGTTCTGGGAGGTGCTTGTCTGTCCTCCAGCAGCTGATCGCAGCCTGGGCACTCACACTTGGGAAGGAGAGCAGGTTCTAAGCCCTCCCTCCACGCAGAGCTGCTCCCGATGAGTAACGCTGCCAGCTGGCCGGTTATTCCTCAGGAAGCTTCGTCAGTGAGGGGTCCCTTGCCACGCGTGCCAGCACGCAAAGCCCCCGACAGTGTGCAAGGTTGTGGGTGCGTCTGTGGCCAGAACACTGCTTGAGCTTGAAAGTGAAGTTTCTACAGAGCCAGTGTGGTTTAGATGGCTGATGGCTTGTACCCACTAAGAAAATGCTGTTTAATTGTGTGGGGGGTCATAGTTCTGAAATGTCATTTCAAGTAGAGTACTGGATATCCACAGAGCCTGGGTAAAGCTTTCTGATGGAGTCAACAAACGTTTCACTGAACACTTACTGCTGGCTGCATAAGCTATAGCCAGAGCAAAACAAACTCCCTGCCCTCAGGGAGCTTCGACTGCATGCAGGGAAGACAGGAAATAGGTCAGACTGTGTGGAGTACTAAAGCAACCAGGACAGTTGGCAATTTGGGATAGGATGGCCAGGAAATGCCCAGGGAGGTGACCCTCAGCAAAATCCTAAGGTCATGGAGTAAGCCTGGAGGGGGCAGGAAGAGTGTCCCCTAGAGGGATGGCCATACAATGCAGCAGGCACAAGAAGGGCTTTGTAGTCTTGGGGATGGCCATGCTGGGGACTGAATCCCCAGAGCCTCACAAGCTAGGCAAATGCTCTAGCACTCGAGCCATGCCCTAGTCCTTTGTTTATATTTTGTTTTGGAGACAGGGTCTCACTAACTTTATCTGGTCTAGCTTGGAGCTGGCCATCCTCCTTCCTCTGCCTCCTGAGGAGCTGGAATTACAGGCATATACCACTATGCCCAGCTAATGAGAAAGGCTTTGGAGGATCATGTTTTGTAGGTCCTAATGGGTAGAAAAATGGAGGGCTTGAACCTTTTCCTCAAGTGACATCAGGAGGTCAGACTTCCCTCTACTCTCATCTTTGAGGGGCCGAACGTTTCCCTGTTAAAGCAGTTTTATGTTGAAAGCCTTTCTTGCCTGCTGAGAATTCCCCAGGCCCGTGTGTGCATAGGCAGCTCACTCTTGACCGTGAGATGATTGATACGGTACCAAACGTGGACAAGACGGTGAAGTTCTTAGGACAGCTGAGTCCATGTAAAGACCCAGTCCCTTCACCATATGTACAAAACCAGAGACCTCCTGCCACCATCCTAGAACTCGCCCCACATGTTGTCATGGTTCCCACCTCTGCACCAGCCCCTCGAAGGCTGGTTGGCTTTTCAACAAAGAAGAGATTTGTTCGTTTCATTTAAATCGTTGTTTAAATTGTTAACAGGAAGACTACAAAAAAAACAAAAAAAAAACCAAAAAAACCCCACCTTCTCTTAGAATCTGCCTGTTTGGGCTTTGCGTGGTTCACATGAAACAGTTATTTGCTCTGTTTTTTGCTTCCAGATCAATTATGCAGCTACAGCAGAAAATAGTTCTGTTATTACAAGTATAATTAAAGTAGATCCGTGTAAGTCATTGGAAGGTCACTTGTCCCCAGACTGTCAGCTGCAGAGTTATGTAATGGTTATGCAATGTTGGTCGACTGCAGCCACGGTCGGTCGGAAAAACATTGAGATTTTTGCGTTCAGTCAAAACAAGACTCCTGCCTTCTTTCAACAGCCCCCTCCTCACCAGGCCTTTAGTGTGGGTTGGGCTTTTAGTGTGGGCTCCAGGAGAGGCTCTGTGAACCCCATTCTCCCTTCTGGGCATGTGCCTGAGATGGGTGAACCTGCTGGAAGATGGGCTGCCATGTTTTCCCACGATGACTTGTGGGCTCTGAAATGTTAATGGGGAAAATAATGAGGAAGTATTAAGAGGTCAAAATGAAGTAAAGTCTCCACTTCTGACTTGGCCTTTCTTTCTTTTTTATTTCCACGCAATGCCTTCTGTTTCTGACTCTTG